GAAAGAGCTAGGAGTAGGTGACTGACTACCCGATCCTGTCCAGCCTCCACAGCCTGGCCCTAGCTGGATTCTGTTAGTCCCAGGGCTGCCAGAGTCAGCATCAGAGCCACCACTGCAGGCTACTGAGGGAGCTGTCTCCAAGCCATCGCTGCACCGAGACCTTGGCACAAGCCTTGCAATGCTGGCCCAGAGAAAGGGTGCAGCATGCAGAGCTGTGCTCCACGCCTCTTGGCCAGCACTACAGATCCTCTTATCATGCATGGGCATGTGTGGGGAGCGATACAGCTGGATGGCCATGCACTGCTCTGGTACGCACCCCCCCTAAGGCAGGAGACACTCTGTGTAGATGTTGCCTGAGAGCATCAGCACTGCCAACCCCTTGCAGGAAGGGGTCTCCCAGGCCCACCCCTCCTATGCGCAAGCACATGCCTGGCTGTAATTATTCCCCTGCCTCTTCTCCAGCAGGGGCAGCCTGAGCTTGACTTGGCATCTGACAGTCCTCCAGGAATCCCATCACCTCTGCGGCGCTGGCCCTAGGCACTGCAGAGCCCCAGCTCCAGCTGATCAGAGACATTACGTCAGCGGTCGTCTCCCCAGGGGTGGGGAGGGGGAGAGGCTGGGTGCTTTAGGCTCAGGTGCAGGAGTGCAAGTAAAAGCTCATTTCTATGCAGAAGCTTTCCTTCAAAGCCATCATTACTATTCATGATATCAGCAGGCGGACACCACGGAGTTAACCCTTTGGGGGATGGGGCGCATCTGTTGTTTATACATGATCTCTCGAACTTCGGACTGGGCTTCCCCTGATGGGGAGGGGTTCAGATGGGCTGACTGTTGCTTTGGCTATAGAAGTCCCTTCCTGAACCCAGCTGTAAGCATCGCGAGCCCAGGACAGTCAGAAGTGCTGGTACTGGTCTTGTCAAACCAGAGCAGGGAGCTGATACACTGACTAGCTTTGCAAGGAAGAAAGCACTGCATTGGATCTAGCGAGAGGATCCATTGAGATCCCACACAGTGCGCTGTGGGGACTCCAGGGGACTAGGAGTGCTCCCTCCCTGTGGTCCTAACTCACCCAGCAGATGGCCTGTGGCAGGACAGAGCACGTGGCACGTCACATCAGGGCAGTCAACCTGCTCTCTTGTCTGAGCTGCTCTGGCCAGGGTTGAAGACATGAAGTGTCCTGGGCTGAGAGTTTAGAGTCCTGGTTCGCACTAGACTTCGTGTGTGACCCTGGGCAAGTTACTTCAATTCTGAAGAGAGGATATACCAACTTACACACAGGAAGGCAGTGTATAAAAGCTCCCTGATGCATGGAGAGGGCCATCTAGCTCTACAGTACAGCTCCCAAAACAAGCCCTCTGTAGAATCAGAGCAATCAGTGGTGCTGCATAAAGACTGGCAGGTATTATAAGCCTCACTATGGCTTGCTAATCCCATTCATGAACCAAGGGGAAATCACCCAGCTAGAAGCTGGTGGCAATGGGATTCCCTCTGGCCTTGGTTTATTACCCCACTGCTAAGGCTGGGCCCCTCCCTTGTCTTAACAGGCAACATATGAATCTGCTCTATAGTGTCCATAGGAAAGCATGAGCTCAGATAGCTAGGAGGCCCCACCACAACCCAAAAAGGTTTTGAGTCACTCCCAAGCCTTCTGGAGGACAAGGTTCCCAGCCCCACCTGATGCTGCCTTAGCCCTTGTTGTGTGGGTCGTGGCTGACGGTATCGCAGTGGGCAGTCCCTCAAGCTGGTGCTGCAGGGAACCCTTGTAATGCAGCCCCAAACCCTGCAAGTGCAAGATGGGCACTCTGTGCCCAGCCTGATCAGAGCAGGATCAAGGGCCATGATGTAGTGTCCTGCATCATACTGCTGACCAGGTCTCTGGCTCAGGCTCTTCCCTCCGGCAGCTCTGCCTTCCCTTGCACTGACGTCATCATCTCCCAGCCCGCTGGGACCCACAGGCAAAAATAGTCTGATGATGTCACACTCAGCAAGGTGGCAGAGCAGGCAGCACATCCAACGTGGTGCGGAGGAGTCCCAGGTGCTCAAGCTCGAAGCATATGCCAGAGTGGGAGGAAAGGGGGGCAGGAATCCCCCCCTGCCCCCCCAGCCGGCACAGGCACAGATGAATAAGCATGCTCCCACGGCAATGCCCAGATCAGTGGAGCGGCACCATCTGCCTGTAGGGATACAGAGAGCAAAGGGCTCTTTGCCACAGGCCTCTGGTGAAACAGAGCTGTCATCTCGGGTTCCTGTACTGACAGCTCATCCATGCAGCTGCCTCAGCCATGGAGGGGAACACTGCACAGCTCTGGTTACTGACACTGTGTACCATCACCCCTGCCTGAGCCCCAATCCTCGACAGGCAGAGCCCATCTAAGCAACCCCCACTCCGACTCCAGCCAGCACTCGGGTGGAGGTTCTTATACATGAAAGAGCACCCACCAGCTAGTGGATCCCTGCATGGCAGGGGGCTTCTCCTGGGGTGGGGAAGAAGGGCATCTCATTGGGTGCTGTTCTGCTGCTATGAGCCAGACTGATGCACTCTTATGCTCTCTCTAGTTCTCCAAGGAGAAATACATCCTTGACTCTTCTCCTGAGAAGCTACACAAGGAGCTGGAGGAGGAGCTGAAACTGAGCAGCACCGACCTGCGCAGCCACGCGTGGTACCACGGGCGCATCCCCCGAGAGGTGAAGTGTGGGGAGGGGGCTATGGGCTGTAGAGCAGCTCTTCCCCTGCCAAGGTGCTGAAGACCAGATACTTCAGGCTGGCTTCAGCACCAGAGCAAGTGATACCCAGTGCTGAAAGGGCATCAGTCTGCCAGACTGGGAAGAGGCACCAGGACTCAGCACCAGCCCCTCAGCCCCGGCTGCGGGGTCAAAGAGAGGCCCCCCTCACAGCTTGGTCCCCCCATCCCACACCGCAGGGATCTTCCCATGAGGAGACTGAGCAAAGTCAAGTGCTAGGAAGGGCAGAGGAAAAGCAGCAGCTTCCAAGGAGAGAGGGGTTATGGCCCAGTGGTAGCCTGGCCTGGCAGCAGCTGGGAAAAGTCTGCTTGCCATGCAGTCAGGGGTCCCTCTGAGCAGCAGCTAGACACAGTATCCAGAAACCCCCTTAGTATGGAGCTAATATCAAATGGGGCAGGCGGCAGGGGGAGTCACATGCCAGCTGGTGGCGAGTCTCTTATAGCCAAGGCCTCTCCAGCCCTCCCTAGAAGAATGACAGGGCCCTCTCACTAAGCCCCTCAATCCCTCCCCCCAGCCCAAAGCCTCCCTGTCCCAGGGTTGGCCCCACTGAGAGTCTCGTCCTTGCATTCCCAGGTATCCGAGAGCCTGGTACAGAGGAATGGGGACTTCCTGATCCGCGACTCACTCACCAGCCTGGGGGACTACGTGCTGACGTGCCGCTGGCGGAACGAGCCACTCCACTTCAAGATCAACAAGGTGATGGTGAAGTCCAGTGAAGGTCGCACCCACATCCAGTACCTGTTTGAGCAGGAGAGCTTTGACAACGTGCCCGCCCTGGTGCGCTTCTATGTGGGCAACCGCAAAGCCATCTCCGAGCAGAGCGGTGCCATTGTCTACTGCCCCATCAACCGCACCTTCCCGCTGCGCTACCTGGAAGCCAGCTATGGACTAGCTAATGGCAAACACAGCAGCCCCCACAGCCCTGCCAGCCAGAAAGGGGGGCACATCAAGAGGCGGAGCATCACCATGACGGATGGCCTGACTGCAGACAAGATCACCAGGGGTGAGGGGTGCCCCACCAGGTGAGAGGCCACCTCTGGGCACTGGAGGGTTGTCAGGTCAGGGAAAGAAAAGGTTCATTGCTGTAGGGAAGCAGTTCACTGCAGGTAACCTGGCAGGGCAACAACAAGCTGACTGGAGCTCACAGGCTGCAACCTACCAGGAGTGACTAGAAATAATAGTCACAAGCTGGCAGAGGGTAGATTCAGGCTAGACATCAGGAGGCGCTACTTCACCGTCAGGGCGGCTAGGATCTGGAACCAATTTCCAAGAGAAGTGGTAATGGCTCCTACCCTGGGGGTCTTTAAGAGGAGGCTAGATGAACACCTTGCCAGGGTCGTTTGACCCCAGTACTCTTTCCTGCCATGGCAGGGGTTCAGACTTGATGATCTGCTCAGGTCCCTTCCAACCCTATCAACTATGAAACTATGAAGCCCTCAGCTTCCTGCTTCCCTGTCCCTAGACAGTACCGGGAACCCATAGCGGCTAAATACTCTTGGTCAGTCTAGGTGGCTTAACAACCACCAGTCAGTTTTGATTTCCTGGTTCTCTCACACCTGCCCATAGGCTGTGGGGAAGGCTACTGGGCAGCACACGGGGATGGCCCGATTGCCCCAGAAGGGGACGAAAGGGAAGAAACCAGGAAAAAAGTAGTAGCTTTTTAAGAGGTGTGTGCCACTAGGTTATCATAGACATGTAGGGCACAGCTGGATCCGAGGAGGGCATCTAGTCCAGGCCTGCTCAGAGGCATGACTCAGTGCACCTGCTGCATCCCTGACTGATGTCTCACCTCATCTTAACCCACAAGGGACAGATTCCCTCACTGCCCTCGGTGGCCTCGTAACACTGAAGAGCTCTCTCACCTTTAGCTTGTGACAAGATGAGCAGATAATGTCTCACCACCCTCCCCCAGCCCCGCTTTCTCCAGCTGACACAATCTTTCTGCATAGGTCCCCCTTATTACGCTTCAGGGTTCCCTCCCATTTGCCTGAACCTGGGGTGCAGGGTTCAAGACAGGACAGGCTGCTCCTGCCAAGGCCTCCCCCACAAACCAAGTAGCACAGAACAGTTGCCCCCCATGCCTTGCTCACAGAGCTCACATTACTCCCCCAGAAGGGCACTCTGCCTTGTGTACAAACATCCCATGGCTGACTGACCCCCATGTGCAGCTCCCCATGGCCCTGGCTCACTTCCCTGCAGTGCTGCTGCCCTCCAGCTACCCAGTTAGGTTTGCACAACCGATTTGCCTTAAGTGTAGCACTTTGCCCCATCATTGAATTTCAGCGTATTGATTCCAGACCATCGCTCCAGTTTCATCAAGATCACTTTGAATCCCAAGCCTGTTCTCTAAAGTGCTTTCAGCCCCTCCCAGTTTAGTGTTGTCCACAAGTGCACTCTGCAGTCCATCAGCCAAATAATTAAAGGAAACATTGATTAGGAGCAGGCACAGGGAAGAGCTTCATAGTACCCTGCTTGCTGGAGCCTCCCAATTTGACAGCAAGCTATTGGCAGCAGCTTTTTAAACACAGGCTTTCAACCACTTGCACACCCACTAAGATTGTTTCAGATCCCCTTCTCCAGAAGCTCTCACATGGCCCCAGCACATGCATGGTTCCTTAAATAAGCAGCCCCATGGTGTATGCAGCTCTCTCCAAATGCCATACCTGTGTCTCACAGCACTCATTTTTCCCACCTAGCCTCTCTGGACCAGGTTTCCTCTTATTCCTCTATCATCACTCCAGTCTCCATGAAAGAAGCTCTGCTCTCTGCTAGTCCTGGTTTATATAGGCCTCAGACTACTCCCACTTCCAGCAGTCCTAACTGGAGCCACCTGTGTGAGTTATTGCTCAGGCCAGGGTGTTCTGAAAAACTGACCACTTATTTTAGTGCTTCAGTGAAATCAGAGCTCTCCTGAAAACCCAGCCCTGCGTGCCTTCCCTTGGGATCTGAGGACACCCCCCTGCAGCAAGCTCGTAAATGCCAGGGTCAAACTCAGCATACACAGACAGGAGCGTGCACCCACCCCATACAGTTTATGCTGTGAAGTGTCCCTTGGTGTCTACTCTATGCTCTCTGCATGAGCCATATATGCTAGAGGAACTGTCTGACTGACATGCTTTCCTCTATCCCCAGCGTGTCCTTACCACACCATCGAGATGTCATCCGGAACTGTGCTGTAAGCGTGGACCAGATCCAAGACCTCCACTCCCCAATGTCTCCCATCTCTGAAAGTCCAGTATCCCCAGCCTACAGTACTGGTAGGAATCTTTCAGGCACCAGTAAGGAATAAGATGTGCACTGGCTGTACAGCTAGGGGTGGACCTGGAGGAAAGGGGTCAGGTATCCAGTGATACCAAAGGCTCTGAGCCCAGCTGCTACCAAATAATGCAGATCTGGGCACACAGCACTGGTCTCAGTGCTAGCTCAGTGCAGAGCTTCCCTGAGACTGCCTGCTTTCCGTGCCATTGAGTGCTGGAGTGCTCAGTCTCTGTTGAAATTGGCCCCTACTCGCATCAAGGAGAAACCCACAGATAGTGACAGTCAGTAACTACATGGGAGAAGAGACCTGCACACTACATTCACCAGTCTGCAGCCACGCGAGAAGACTGACTGCTGCCTTTGCACAAAGGCAGATCCCCTAGATACTGAGAAGTGTCAGATGCAGAAAACAAAGGCCTGGCCAGATCCCATGAGATAAACCGCTGCTGAAACGGCCAGCAGGGAGGGGAGATTTAAACTCAGGCTTGTCAAATTGGCTTGGCAGTGCTTTGTAATTTCAGCCTGTCATTAGCCATCTCAATTACAACATGGGCTCAAGGTTCTGCCCCTCATCTGGCCAAATGCTCTGAGCAGTAATAGGTATAGATGTAGTTTAGTGGGTCCTAAGCTAGGTTACTGGTTGTCTGAGAGGGGACCACCCAAGGTCTGGCCTGCTCTGTGTGCATGAGCACGCGCGCATCTCTGTGCATTATACTCATGTCTCTGAGTTACTATAACAGGGTCTCTCCTGCTCTCTGCAGTGACACGACTAAAGCCCCAAGGCAGCCTAACCCCTGCCTCACCAGTCATAAGACGATCCAGCGAACCCCAGCTGTGCCCAGGAAATAACAACAAGCCGGCACCAGACCCAGGCGACAGCACTCACTCCAGTCCCTGCCACAGATACTCCAGGGCCTCTCCTTCCCCCTCTGTGAACAGCTACAGCGACCCGGACACAGGGCATTACTGTCAGCTCCACCCCACCTCCCCAGTCAGCAGGGAGAGACCCACACATGACACCAAGCAGCTTCCCACAAAGAGCTATGTGGAGAGGCTAAAGGTGGAGGAGGGGCCCAGAGTGACTGTGGAAAATGGCTCCAGTGAGGTGGAGGCCGGGCAGAGGCTGAAAGGAGAGATGGACCTCGGGGGCTTTGTGCCGCCCACAGTGGAGACAAGTTCCTCCTTCAACCCCGCAGCCTTCCGGTCCCTACTTATCCCTCTAGAAAACAAGCCCCTGGAAATGGCCGTGCTGAAGAAGGTCAAGGAGCTCCTGGCAGAAGTCGATGCCAAGACCCTTGCCAAACACATCACCAAAGTGGACTGCCTGGTATGAGCAGCATGGGGGGGTGGCTTTACTATACCCCACTGCCCCTAATTTGATCCTCCGCTGCTGAGATCACTGGAAGAGCTGGCAGCTAAGCAGAGAATCAGGCACCTCTGAGGGCCCGTCATAGCCTCCCATACCACAGACCCTGCGTGTCAGCCCACAGGCTGCACATGGTACAGACTAAAGCACTGAGTGCAGAGTAGGGACTAGCAAGCCCTGATGTCAAATCCCAGCTCTGCTACTGACTGCATCTGTGGGCAAGTGGCTCTCTGCACTCAGTTTCCCAGGCTGTAAAATGGGGTAAAAGGAGGTAACACTGTGCTGTGGGCATGAAGTACCAGGTACCAGTGCTCTGGTGCTGGAGCCATTTAGGGTGAGCTCAGTCTGTGCTTAGCCTGGCTGGGGTCCCTGACAAGAGGATAAATGGCACCAGTTATGCAAGAGATGGCTGTGAGGCAAGGCCTCACCCCCCAGGAATTGGACTGAACCAGTCCATCTTGCCCCAGCCAGGTGACCTTGCCAGCTTCAGCTGGGACCACCACTGCTAGGTACCACCTCCCCCATCCACAGTACTGCAATCCTCAGCACCCCGGGAGGAAGATGTGTGAGATCATCTTGAAGGGCAGGATAGGACAGGCCTTGCCACGAGCAATGCAGTCAGTGGCAGAACCGGGACTAGAACTTCAGACTCCCAACTCCTGCCCATAGACTCAACAGCCCCTGCTGCAGTCTGTGCCAGCACCCCCTTCAAGACTGTGTCCCTGGACCCCTGCAACCTCTGCTGCCTTCCCCTGGCTTCTCCTCCTCTGCGGGAGTCTATTTCCTCTGTTTCACCAGGGCTCTGTCTCCTGGTTCCCATATCCCTGGCACCCTCTGTTCAGTGCCTGCAATCCCATCCTCTCACAGTATTACTGGCGCACACACACACAAGTTGTGTGTAAACCCAGACCCGGCAGCAGCTCTTGACTCAGCTCTGAGAGGGGGCTCGAGGGACTCCAGCCCAGGCATTGATGTTTCCTTGACTGGGCCCCACCAGTCCTGACCATGCTGATGCTGGGCTGGGGGTGGGGGGACAGGCGGAGACCTGAGCTCATGGCAGAGCCCATCCAGAGCGATTCCTGCAGCGTGGCCAAACTTTCCATACAACTGGCCAAGCCCCTCTCCTCAATTAGAGGAGCTTAATCTGCTTGCTGTCTTTGTTGCCAGGTTGCTAGGATATTGAGTGTTACCAAGGAGATGCAGAGGCTCATGGGGGTGAGCTCGGGCATGGAGCTTCTCACATTGCCCCACGGACATCAACTTCGGCTGGACCTCCTGGAACGGTACGGCATGGAGAGGAAGCAATGGGCAGCAAGTGCAGCGCTCCCTGTTCCCTGCGGCCACCTGGCTCCTGCAGGAGCCCGGGAAATGGGGCATCTGACTGCAGCGCCTGGGTACTCTCTGTAGCTGTCAAGCTGGGAAAGCCTGGCCTGAGTCAGGCCGGGCTCCCTTCCTCCCCCAACAGTGCTCCAGGCCCTTATTTGCTGACAAGCTGGTTATTTAAATGGCAGTGACTGGTCCTAGCCTAACAGCTCTGGAACCTGAAGGCCCTAATTTAGCCACGCAACCCAGGCAGCATCCCTACAAGCTCCGCACCCCAAAGGAAGCCCATTCTCCATGGCACTGTCACTCCTGGGCCCTCTGTTGGCACTGCCAAGGCTTTCAGCTGTGCCTGCTGGATGGGGACTGCTGCTACCTGGCACCTGGTGGGCACTGTAGAGAGGCCAGGTTAGGAACACACAGCTCCTGGGGTCACAGCTGAACCCAAGAGTGAGGGGCTTCCTCTCCCGAGGATGCAGCCACACTCCCTTCCCGGCACTGGTCCTGCACTCCAGGTCACTGTCTCCTCACAGTGCTGTCACATCCCCCTCTCAGGTTCCACACGATGTCCATCATGATTGCTGTGGATATCCTGGGCTGCACGGGCAGCACGGAGGAGAGGGCCACCCTGCTGCACAAGACCATCCAGCTGGCTGCTGAGCTGAAGAGCACCATGGGAAACATGTTCAGCTTTGCTGCGGTGATGAATGCCTTGGAAATGCCACAGGTACCAGACCCCCTCTTCAGGGCACTCCAGGCTCAGCTGAGCCCCTGTCCTC